ACTTTGTTCTCTTTCTTCCATCTCTAAATATTAGGAGGTTTGGGGGTTTTTTGGTGGGGGATTCGTTTAAAGGTAGTTCAAAGGCAGTTTAAACAAAGGTAATAGGATTATTAGAAGCCATGTTCACAGCTTCTAGAGGCTTGACTATAACTAGAGCGCGCAAACAGACATTACCCAGAGAACCATATTTGAGGAACAGTGGTCCTATGAGACAACATCTAGAAGCGATAGCTGGATGTGTCACTGAGCTGCCCTCCTTTGGAGAGGAGGTGAATTTACTGGCATATGTATGTGGGATGGTTGGATTATGTAGGTGAGGGCATTTTTGGAATCATATATATATAGGAAAACAATATGTGTGTTAGGCAAAGGGTGAGCTACAGTGAATACCTGCCATTCTGCTTTTTCAGGATCTCTCTTCTCTTGGGAGCCCTGCCCTCATCCCAGTGTCCATGGGGTTTTCTTGTGGGCCGTGTTAGGCAATTTGATCCTCATTAATTTCTTGATCACAGTTGATTGGCCCCAAGTTAAGCATCAAATTAGGCTGAGCCAATCAGGGTACTTTCTGAGGAATTTGCAAACTGCAAATTCCAAGAAAAAGAAGCTAGTGTCTGGAGTTGGATACCTCAACAATAAGATTTTAAACTTTGGGATTGTCTGAAGTCAAGATTCTCAGCATGTGGACCAGAAGAGCATTGGAAGCCAGTCTGGGGGTAAGGCTGACAGGGGCTGGGGTAGGGGCAGGGCAGGGAAATGAAGCAGACAGAAAATAATACAGATGACAAGTGGAGAGAAAACCTAATGGCTTTTGAGTCTATTCGTTCCAGTTGTTTTGAGGCATCCGTGTCTTTAGGTTTCAGCATCTGATTATAAATGTATCTTTTTTGCTTAAACCAGTTCTTAATTTTCCTGGGTAAGCTCATCCACTTTTCTGGTTTGACTACTACCCTTTGCTATTAAATCATAAAATGTTAAATTCAGCCTACACCTCTCTCCTGAATCTCAGACCTGTTTATCCAACTGTCTATTGAACATCTGAACTTGGGCATCCAATTGGCACCTCAAATGCATCATATCCAAAACTGAACTCATCTTCCCTCCTCCTCTAGCCCCCTTCTCATGTGTTCCCTATCTCAATAAATGGCATCGCAGTACCCCTAGTCATCAATCTGGGAGTTATCCCAGATTTTCCCTTTCCTCTTATCCCCATATCCTATAAGTCTAAGTCCTGCCAATTGTAACTCCCAAATGTCCTCAACGCTCTCCTTTTCTCTCACATCTACCCCCCTGCACCATTTCAGTCCCTGTCATTACTCCTTGCCTTCAATCTCAAAAGCTATCAATCCCTCCTTCCACCCAGCAGCTCAAATCATCCTTCTAATTTCTGGATATGATCACATTACTATTCTGCTCAAAATTCTTCAGTGGTCACAGTTTTCAGGATAAAATCTGAGCTCCTGCAGCTGGGTCGAATATTCACTCACATTACACTCAGATGTACAATGATATAAGTCTCCTCTGTTTCCTAGAACTGATTTGATCTTGCTCACAATGCCCTCGCCCTGCTGGGTAACAGGGGCAGGGGAACTAAAATTAATCCACTTTGGTGAATTCAGTAGGGTCCCAAAATTTTTTTAGACAGTCTGTAAGTAATTCAGGTTTGGATGAGTACATATTTCAGGTTATTTTACCCTTCTTGTTCTCATTTTCAAGATAGCATTTGGATTTATAGGGATCTTGTGAATTTCATGGCGTTGGAGGAAGGGGTCCCTGAGCAACATAGTCCTTGGGGTTGTGTCAGTTGGCATTTACTGAAATGTGGTTGGTCTGTTGTAAGTGAATTAGTGAATTACAACCCTGAGAGGAGCTGAGGCTAAAAGAGGTTAACAGCCCTGGGTGGGTATCTCAATTGGTTAGAACATCATCCCAATATGCCCAGGTTGCAGATTCAATCCCCAGTCAGGGCACATACAAGAAGCATCCAATGAATGCTTAAATAAGTGGAATAACAAATCGATGTTGTCTCTTCTCTCTCTCTAAAAATCTTTAACAAAAGAAAAAAAGGTCACCGTTTCATTCCCAGTCAGGGCACATGCCAGGGTTGCAGGCTCCATCCCCAGCAGAGGGCATGCAGGAAGCAGCCAATGGATGATTCTCTCTCATCATTGATGTTTCTCTCTCTCTCTCTCCCCCACCCCCCTTCCTCTCTCTGAAATCAATAAAAATATATTTAAAAAAAATAAATTTGGGGCGGGGAGTGGGTGAGTGATGGAAGGGGTTAATGGGGAAATAAGGGGACATCTGTAATATTTTCAACGATAAAGATAAATTTAAAATAAATAAATTTTAAAAAGGTTAATAACTTGCCCAAAGTCGCAAAGTTAGGGAAGTGGCAGAACCAGGAATCCATGCCACCCTGATTCTGGTAGGCACTTGGATCTGAGTTTAGGATTCCAGAGATAAGGCTGGTTTGGGAGCACTATCTTCATGGTATAGCTTCAGGGATGTGCTAGTCCATGGAGACCACGGAGAATGGGGTGAGCAGAGGGCCCGGTTCAGAACACTTAGGAACATGAGGTAGGGTGGGAAGGCCTACCTGATGGCTCCTGCCTACGCTGATGTTCCCCTTAGGAGAGCTTCTAGGATGGGGTCACGCCTGTTCCATCCAGGGCTGAGCCATCCCGCAGGCGGCATTCCTCTCTGTCCCAGGTTCCCCCGTGGCAGCGTAAAGGCAAACCTCGACCAGTACTGGGTGGGAACTCAGTAAATGTGTTCAAAGAACTTGTGTTGGCAGAGCTGATCTCACCTCCTGGGGCCAGCGAATGTAGAGCCAGCCAGACCTCCTGGAGTGGGGAGGCAGATCCCACACCCAGGGGGGAGTGGGCGTGAGGGAGTATGGGGAGTTTTCAAGATGAGGAGGTCTCTTCCCAGGTGTGGGGAGGCAGAGTCTTCTACCAAATGTGAAGGGTGGTCTCCTCGGATATTGGGGTACAGCTTTGGCCTTTTTCAGATGCTGGGTGTGGAAGGTGCAAGAAATCCCGCAAGTAGGTGGGCCGCGCCATCCCCCCTCCTTGGGGAAGGATCAAGACAGAACTGCCCCTTCAACCCTCCTCCCGCCTCCGCCTGCCGCCTCCCTCCTCCCGCCACCCGCCATCTCGCCCGCACGCGGGGCGGGACAGTCCCCACCCCAGCGCACGACCAATGGCACGTGAGCCTGGAGCAACCAGCCAATTGAACGTCGGCAGCGGCGTGGGGGACGGCTCCGCTCCCCGCAGGCCGCGGGCCGCCGGCCTCCCAGGAGGCGGGGCTCTTC